AACAAATGCAGCAAATCAGACAAAATCATACCATAAGTCAAAGCTGGTATAACAGCCCTACCTACCACTGAAATTTTCTGTTGTCACACTTTGGAATATTCCTCCATAAGACTCAAAAAAGTATTTTGATACCTTGAAAGAAATTCTTACAATTCAGCTTGGTAAAATTTTACAATATTTCTGGTTTCAAGGATAAATATGAAGCTTGACATACATTAATGTGTGGCATTTTTTTGAAGGGTAGACGGAAAGGAGGAATGGAAGAGAGAAAGGAAAGCTAGACTCTTCCACTGGGACAGTAGAAGAGCCTGTGAAAAGTCTAAATTCTGAAGCTGAGATTGTAGCAGCTAGCAGTTCACGCAAGGAAGAGCTCGATAGGTGAATTACATACCAGTTCACAAAGCACTGGGCAAGATCCAGAGTTGCAACAGGGCCAGTTGCTTTCAACCATTTTGTATAATATCACAGTTACTGGTTAAGAGTAGGTCACAGAAGGGTGGGTTCTTGTGAAATGCTGTTTTAACAATGTTTTGCAGTAAAAAGAGCTAATGAACCATGGAAGTGAGGCAGATTTGGGAGTAGTGAGTAATGCTATATGAGTATGGTCCAGGCAAAGTTACACACCAGCAAAACTTACCTGCCGTGCCCTGCATGAGTGAAAAAGCACATTTAAAATGGCCTTTGTTGGATAAGATCCAGAGCTATATGTGCAGTCAGAAAATATGTAGTATTCAGGCTAGAACAAATGAACAAAAACTCTACCACATGGCAAAAGGCTGGGGTAAGAACAAGATGCCAAACCAAATTCTTTACAAACACCCTGGACACTCGCTAACATTCAAAAATGTTATGTTTTAACTGAACAGTTCTTTTGATTCATGTCAAAGACCTGACTAAAAGCTTGCCAGGGCTCACTGCAGTGTTCCTTCACTTCCATTAACAGTTTCCTGAAGCACATGACATAATGGTTTACAAGAGAAAAACGTCAATGCACAAAATTTACAATTAATCCAGGCAGAAAGAAAGCACAAAGTTCTGTGTTAAAAAAACAGCTCTTAACTAGTCCGAACTGTATCCAGTTGGTTCTATGCCTACATAATTATCTCTGCAAGATTAAGCTATCCAGTGGGTAAGAAATAAAATACAGTTGACCCAGGAGAAGTAATTTAACACTAACAGCTAATCAAATTTTGTTAAAAACAGACTTTGAAGTTCTTGATAGAAGATGAAATGAAGGTTTAGTTAGGTGTGCCTGACATCATAAGAATATTTTTTGATGCCTAAAGAAACATATTGAAATGAGTGTTCCAGACAGTGTTCAGGTCATTAAGTTGTGAAAATGTCGAAGCAATTAGTATCATAAAATCAAAGTTTAATGAGAAGTCTGAATTAACACTTTTCATTATCAGTACACTATCTGAAATGAATTTGAAAATATACTTTCTGGTGCTTCTTCCACGCCAATTGAAATATGTTCCACCACTTGTGTCTTGCTCTGGAAAGACTTAACTCCTGAAAAGAAGGAACAGTTGTTTTTCTACTCCTCTCCCCTTCATCATTTTTTTGGATGAAGAACCTCTACTTCCTCCCAACACAAATGGAAGCAAACTAGCTTTAAACATTTAAAAAGATATAAAGGTTTATTAAATGAATCCAGATTTGACAGCTATTACATAAATTAAACAGCAATAAAATTTTACTAGCGTTTATGTACAGATCACAGTGATTTTCATTGTGCAATGAGGGCTGACTTTGTAACTTTGAACAGTACTTATACATGTGAGCTACAACAAGCAACCAGCAACATACAATGTTAGTCGAAGCTAACCTCGCAAGTCTAGCAGTTCAAACTGATTATGCAGTGCACAAATGCCTGCTACCACTATCACTACTTACTACACAACAGTATTTATAAAGCAGTCAAGGTTTGCCATAGAAAAGTGCAAAACATGGGAAGTCTGTACACAGTACAGTACAAAAAGGAATCATGCTACAGTCATTGAAAGCTGAAAAATAATTCTATAGCATAGGAAGCACTGCATCACAACTCTTCTGAATGGCAAGCAGATGGGCTGAGGAACAGCCATATCTTAATTGCTTTCAAAACTGCAAAATCCCTGTTCATCCATTTAAACATAGTTTAGTACCTATATTTTGATCAATTAACAATGACTTTCTACAGTGGAAGATCACATTAGTTAAAGCTCAGTAGCACACATATTCATTGATCAAGCTAATTTACAGGAAAATCTACAGCATGTTCTCCATTGAAATCATGAAGCTTTTATATCATTTGGTTACAAGGCAATTGAGTTTACAATGCACGTTTATCACTTAAAACCTCAAATTGGGCAATTAAAAATATATATATATAAAAAACTCAAAAATAAAGGTTGTTTTTTAATGTTTAACATTCTTGTTCACTGAAGCAGAATACCAAAGGCCTATGGGCTCTTGCAAGAAAACAGTCCTTAAGCAACAGTCGATACGCAAAAACACATGTTAACAGAAGCAACCATAATAAAATGAACTTCAAAGAATACCATACTTGAATAGAAAATAAAAAAGTGTTCTAGTCCGCTTAAAAAAAACCATAAATCCAGAGTCCTTAGTGCAGTGTGTACCCAGGGACTTCTCCGTGAGCACTCAGACAGAACTACATTAGTGGGCCATGAAGTCCCAGCAAAGACTTAAAATAAAACAGACTTACTTGTGCAAATAAATAAAATGGGCAGGTAATAACAGCTCATTAAGTCCAAGACTGTAGAGAAAATAACTGATCACTTAAAATAATGCTTCAAAAATGTTTGTGGTTGAGTTTTTTTTTTTAGTTAAGGACTTTAATTAAAAAAAATTTGACAGTAGTTTTGTACTAGAAAGCATGTTGACGAGGTCAGTAGTTAGGCATATGTACACATGGCTCTGGAAACAATGTAAAGTCAATGGATTAGCATTATTAATAAGACTGTATTTGTTTCTTTAGTCTCTATCATGAATGTCAGTGCATCCACTGCCAGCAATGGATAAAATCCGTAAAAAGAAAATCCACTATCTCCTGTTGTTCAAGCATTCAAAACTTCTAACCACCAATGTGGCACAATAGTCAAATGCAACTTCATTTCCTCAGCTTTGAAGACTTCAACACAGTGCAGTTTTTAAATTTGAAAACAAAAACAAACAAAAAAAAGATATTTAGCACACTCAGCTTGTTGCAGTATGTACATTTTTAAATAAGAAACTGGTTTTGTAGTACTCAGATTCCATAAAATACTGTAAGCTTACACATTAAGAAAACCCCTGAACTGTGCTTGCTCCTCTTAGACAAAGTAAGCTGTGTTTTATGTACTTCAGTTAGTCCGATTCATTTGGAATAACTAATACCACAGATACAAATACAGTGGGCCAGATTAATTTTTTCAAGAGAATAAGGTATTTTATCAGGTTAAAATGATCATTTTCTAAGGATTTCCCTATATTTCATTATACATTCCTACACAGCATTTATTGAGTGGCAGCTGGGGCCATCAACTTGTCGCACTTGCATAACATCAAGATGACTTTGTGATATTCCAGAATTACCACTTTGAAATACCCTGATTTTGTTCCACATTGTGCATTTTTGCAAAAAGTTATGCAGTCTCTTAAAGTTAGACTTGCTTTATGAAGAAATAGATCTAATACCCTAGAAATTGCAAGTTCTCAACAGCACTTCTGTACTGTTTAGAGCTAAACAAAAGAAAATGGAGGTCACTTTTCCACGAGGAGACTCCAGCTGTAGGTCTGTCATAAAATTATAAACATGGTAATTTCATTAGCAATTACTAGAATGTCTACCTTCATAAGCATTCAGGATTTAGTTCAGAAAAATGAATCTTTGGCCTACATTTCTTATGGCATTTCAGATCAAAAATGTGGAGAGCAGTTCATTGGAGAAACTGTCTCTATGATCTACTTAAACAGTTCTATGTAGAGCCATCAGTCATAGTAGTGGAACTCCAGTGAGCTGATGTGCTTTCGAAAAAAATATTTTTGGTCTAAATATCATAATTTCACTAAAAGTTATCTAAAACCACAATGCCTGGAAGAACGTATTTACTTTTTGAAATCAAAGCACTTCAAAAATCATTTCTGCTACATTAACACAAGTATCATAATATGGAACATGAAAAAAACCCTAAAAAAAGATCCTGGCTTCTCTACAATCTACCATCATGTTTATGTGTATTCATATACATAGATACATACATATGCACATACTGATATTTAGTGCTACTTAAAATAAAGCAGTATTGCAAATACTTCCTAAATACAGTGTACTCAAGCTGCTAGAAAGATGTTAGTACAGAAAAAAAAAAAAAGGGACTCCTTACATCTAAGGTTTGAACTCTGTACATATGGAATTCCTGGCAGCAAAGATTTTAGGACATTTCCAAAAGCAGAAGCAGAAAAATTAGGCTCTAATATATATTCAGTCTTCCCTCTGCTATTCTGAAGTGCCAGGCATTCAACAACAACTATTTCAATAATCAAAAAAGTCTGTTATGGCTCATGCTTTACATTTGGAGAAGACAGCAAGCTCAAGAGAGAACAACTCCTGGAAGAGCCAGTTAGAGCCCTTTTATCAGTATGCACTGAATTGCATGTTTACAGAGAGTCTTCATGTGAGGAATCTCATTTCAGGCAGTGTATAATCACTCAATATCCTGGTTTGTGAAGAGACATCACTGTAACAGAACTTCATAAATTAGACATGAAGATGCATCTTAATAATAAAACATGCCCTTGTCTTTCTGCTTTCAAGTACTATGGTTGCAAGTGTGAGGCATTGGAAATTTTAGGTACAAATATTTTTAAAAACTTAATTATTTTTATTTTTTACAAAGAATTATAAAATGTATATAAGATGATGAAAAACTCATTTATCCTTTTAATATTTTTATTCCTAGAGAACTTCTTGAAAAAACATTATTTGAAAAATAAAAATCATAGACTCTGCAAAATACAAAAATTTACATCTTTGCACAGTTCCTGTGCTTTAGTTGTATTGTTTTCATTATATACATATATACTAATTTGTGCTTTTAATTACACAAGTTTAGTATAAACTTATAAAATTAAGTCTATGAGTTAACTATGCAAAAAGGATCTGGGAATAGCAGGAAACTTAACTAAACCATAAGTTAAAAAAAAAAAAAAAATAATCCCAAAATATACCATTTTAGTGAGTCTACTTCAGAGTAGACTATCAATATTACAATTTACTAAACTAATGTCAAATGTTTACAGCAAAAAATTATTCTTGCCTGCCTCCAACTCTTTAGATATTTACCATATACTAATACACATATCTGAATGCAGTATCATTCTTATCCACAAAGAAAGTCTTCATTTATGTATGAACTCCATTTTTCTTCAGACTTGCTCTCAGCACTTGAATTTCCTTCCAGTTTCTAAGACAAAAAATAATGAAAAAGGAACACAAAATACAATGTGGAGCATGTGAATTGAGTAACAAGTATCAACCTATCACAGTTACAAGACAGAATCCAGGGTACAGAATTAATCTGACAATCTTATTCCTCTAACTCAAGTCTTCATTCTGAATATAAGTCTTGCATTCAAGAACAATCACATTTCCTTATCTGTCAAATCAATCTAGATATTTCCTTTAACACACTATTTAAAAGTTTTAAGGACAGAAGGACTTAAATATCTGTATGCGAATAACTTCACTGTAAAACACCAAGATAAATGACCTTTGTCACTCTGTAAGCCTGCTTTACAATATTTTATTTCAACAGTTTAATTATGCTATCTATTACTGTGATTCATATTGTTTTTACAAGTTGTAAGGAAGTATTAATCACTGTTATGAATCAGAAGATGTAATTTCTGCATACGGCTCTCGCTCACAGACCTGCAATATTTTGAAGAGGACTCCTGACATTTGGACATACCTCACCCGGAGTAGATGTTGCATTCAGAAGTTCTTGAAAATTTCTAGATCTTTAGGGGGTACCGGAGGCGTCTTGTTCCAGTCATCTTCAGGGTAAGCTTCAAAATTGGAAGTATCCCCATCATTGGATACTTTCGGTACTATGGGAGGCTAGTCAGAACAAGCACAACAAAAATGTTAGTACCATTTCCTCAATGAGCTCCTCTCCACCATATTAACACAGAAATTCTGTAAAAGACTGATTAAACAGAAGCGGTACATATTTATAAAAGTTCACCTTTTTCATAAATAATGAATGGCTTGAGAGAGAGAAGCTTGCAGCAACACAGACATGTTCCAATGCTTTGTCTATATTGCAGTTAAATATTGTGGTTAAAAGACACTTATTATACAGGTACCTATTTTATTTTGCGCTCAAGTTCTAGCTGCTTTGCACACTGAAGGTAACTACTGCAAAAGATTACTACAACTAAGCTTCCAGGCACATGCCGTTACAGCATAATCTGTCACTCTCCTTCCTTACTCCTCCCCTCTTCTGTGGCCTATGAGCAAAAAGGAGTGTAATCACATTAGGTTCCTTTCAACTAAGAAAGAGTCTTGATAGCAATGTGGGTAACTGCTTTCTAATTGAAGAAAAAAGCCTTCTCTTCTCTTCATTGCTTTCAAGTAGATTGATTGTTTTTAAGGAGGTTGAAATGACTAATGTGTATGCCTCACGCTACCTACGATGCTTTTTCCTAGCCTAGCAATAAATTCAAGCAGGTAAAGAAATTGCTGCACTGTAAAAACTCATTTCACAAGGATGTCTGTAAAAGCATCTTAATACAAATGGATCTTTTTAAGGAAACTTGGAGGTGCCAAGAGAAATATCTGTTTTCTATTTCTTTCCTCAAAGGATCCTTTGGATTTCTAGGACTGCCCACCAGCTGCACAGTACCTGTAGCTTTTCCTTGTCTTATATCTAGCATTGAGATTACTCTGCCCTTCTGGCTAGAGGCTATAAGATAAAGCTCCTTTCTGGAATATTTAACTAATTGCAGGGGTTAACATAGGGCAAAACCCTTTTCTTCTCTCAAGGGACATTCACCTCTCTATCCCCTTCTCAGTAACAGAGAACTTAACTATCGTCATGAGTCCAACAAAACACTTTAGGATGAGAAAGCCTTACGGACAATCACCAAACTGTCTAGTAAAAGTCATACCACAGACAAAACTATAAGGTACAGCAAAATGTTATTCTACATCTCCTCAAAAAGATAAAAATCTGGCTTCCACTAGCTCTGAGATCTTATCTGATCTTTTGGGCTTCTCAGTTTGAAACAACGCCATCAGTAGGTTTTCAATGGGACAGAAAGGGTCCTGAGGGATGGTACTTCTAAACTTCAGCCAAAAGCAAAGTCCTGCTTTTGCAATGTGGCAGTCACAGCATACTGCCCAGATGCTTAAGAAAACGTGCAGAATCTGCTCTGCTCCAGAGAACTATCTGCTCCACTGGTACCCCCACCCCCCTGTAAACATTTTGGCAGGAAAACCAGTTTTGTGAAGTGACACACAAAAAGAGAAAAATTAAGAAAAAGAGAGAAAGGAAAATCCTCTATTTTACATTAACAAAATTATTTTCTCTCAGCCATTATTATTATTTGTATAATACTGATATTTAAGAACTTTTCAGGGCTGTGAGCCAATGCTTCATTTGTACAATAGGCCAATTCACACTTTTTACAGGAAAAACGCAGCACTGTACCCATTATTCCATATTTTCAATCTCTTCATCAGTACGAAATAGAGTGAGACTGTAAAAACTAATTCTGAAGAATATGGCTGCCTCTAGAAATAACAAAGTAAATTTCTGATCCAATTCACATCCTTGCTCTGAAGTATAATTAAGCAGCATCTCGTCTTCTAAGAGCTTAATGTAACCAGAACACAGATTAAGAAACAAGTTTTGGATTCATAATAATCTGAATGCCACAGTGACTTTTTTTTTTTTAATAAAAATGCAACATAAAGGATGTTTGGACCTAAGACTTTTGATTTGTACCTCTAACATTCAGTTTTTAATACTATTTGTTATTTATTTGGTAATACAGTAGGTTGTCATAAACTTCAGGAGTTGAAATAGTTATAAAACATATTATCATCCAGTTTGTGTTCTTTGCAGATTTGTGTGACCAGAATTTACTGTAAATAATTTGAAAAATGTGACTTCATTACAATAGATCTACATAAAACATCAACTGTGTGTAGTAATCCTTAAAAAAAAAAAAAAAGCAGAAAACCCCCAAACCCCCCATATTTAAAACAATGTAAACTTCTTTTTAAAGAAAAAAGTCACCTACAGCTTTATACTAGGATGTTGTCTACAAGAAAACATCAAGAACATTTTCATCTCTTATCTATTCTGCAATAACTCAATTTAAGATGTCTAGCCAGAAATTCGTTGTAAGAAACTAATGCAAAGAAAACAAAACCCAAACATTTAATCAGTACTTGACTGACTGCGTATAGCAACCTATGTTACTGAAAATCACTGCTGTAAGAAACCATACTAGTTAGAACTTTAAAAAGCATTTTGCAGTGTTGATAGCTTTTGCAAACATCTGCCCTCATATAATACTAGAATTCAGTGCTGTTAAAAAGTATGTTAGAATTACATACATAAATCCTTCTCTCTCACCTTTCCTATTCCTCCTGCTCCCATATGCTTTACATTTATGAAAGCATTTACCTGAATTGAACTTGGCACAAAAATTTAAAGCGCAGAGTAAAATACTTCCACAGATATAAGGGCAAGGGCGGGGGGCACGGAATCAAACCAACAAACCACCAATCCTCCACATCCCTCCAAGGAAAAAAAACACCTACAACAAGTCGTTACTTATAAAACCCTAAAACTGAAAATTAAATGTTGTATTAACTAATCAACTTCAGCAAAACAAAGCAGGGATTTTTTTTAGGTATTTTGTATATAGACAAAAATGCTAGCAGACATTCATATAATTAATTCTGCAGTGTAAAAGAACAAAAATACATGCAGTTATTGATGTGTTCATATACACACATGCTCTTACACACATATGAATACACAGACGTGACAGGCAACAAACCTCAACAGATCAGCTTAAATGAACAATGACCTCTTGTTGTGATGTCCTATATAGTACTTTGCAGAACATACCTTTAGTCTCCTTTGAGGTACAGCGTCCCAATCTATAGACCTGAACCATCGATGTCTCTTCACATCATCCGCTCCATTCTTTAAAGAAAAAAATTTAAAAAAAGAAAAATTTAGTAAGCTATATGTATGCCAAACCACGTATTTCATAATAAGAACTGTGCTATCAAGGCAGACTAATGGTCTGTCAAACCTTTTTCCTTTTCTCAGGTGATAATCATTAAAAGATTCTGCAGGATAAAGTCATAGTGTTATTTCCCTAGCAGATCCTGAGTTCCAGCAATAAGATCCAATTTGTTTTTGCAGCAGCATTCTTCTGACACAAGCGAGATCAAGACTAGGCTTTAAAATACCCACAAAACCATTCACTGCAGTTCTATTCACTTGTTTTCTCCAACATTTTAGAGAATGCCTCTTATTCAGACATACTTTCTAATTCTTAACCTAATAAAAAAAATAACTGAGGGTTGATGGTGTCTTAAATAAAAATGTCTAGGAACATAATTCTACCAAATATTACAGATGTTTAGTGCCAACAACAAGAGGTTCTCAGCACTGTTACAAAACTATATATACACTATATGTATATAAAAATCTATATATAAAAAATATATATAAAAATAAATATAAAGCCACTTGTTTTCATTTTAGATATATGGTTAAAGGCTTATTTGTGTTATAATGATTATTCTCTCTGGGCTGACTGGTTTGATTATGTACATAAAGAATGAAAATGTCTTTTTCTTTTTTTTTTTTTTTTTTTTTTTTTTTTACTCCCCCTTCCCCCCTCAGGATGAAGTTTGGTTCAAGCACAGGCTCATGCTCAAGGCATTAAGCACTGGGGAAAACCAGCTGGTTCTCTGTCTCAGGCCTGATCACAACACAGTTTTAATGCACAGCACTCAAGCTCATACCACATGCAGCTCCATGGAATGAAGCATACCACACATTTGTTTTTTTCAGATTTATATGGAGTGGGACTATCCATGCTCACATCCAAAGAGGCAACAAGGAGAGAGTAGTTTATTACCTAGTTCCCTCAAAAACAGATCTGATTGAATGCTTCACCAGAAAATGCCCATTGGGATTTAAATATTTTTAAACCAACTATGATTATGGAAAAGGATCAGACTTAAGACTGACCCACCCCAAATGCCGCTTCTAATTAGAACTATTTTTGATTTTGACATTTTAGCCAACTGTAGGGAAAAACCCCAAAACAAACCTAAACAACCACAGACTAAAAAAAATGAAAGCCAGCCAAACACATTTTCCAAAACCCAGGTTTGAATAAACCCAGGTTTGCTTCTGTTTTTGTTTTCCTTCAAAAGACATAAAAGTTTTCACTCCCCCCCCCCCCCCCAAAAAAAAAACAAAACAAAAAACCAACCACTGCAAAGAATTCTGAAGTATTAGGAAAACTTTTATTTCCTAGCTTTTCTTACCATCTTAAGTTTGCGCCATAAAAGATTCTGAAAATGAACTTGTGCCATAAAAGGTTCTGAAAATGAACTTTGGACAGCAGGTTCTAGCATCTATACTTATATCAATATGCTCTGTTCAAGGAACCTGGATTACTGTACATCTTTTACCTTCTTCATCTATGTGCAACATAAATTGTGCTTTGTACAAAAAAGCAAACCTCTAACCTCCCCTGCCCAGGGAAATGGAAATTTTAGCTGTCTCTAAAGGACTAAAAGATTGCACAAGCTAATTTAGGTATCTGCAACACTGCGACAACAATAACAAGTCAATGAATATAGGATTAATTTACTCTGCCAGAATGGTAAATTAACCTACACTGAGTTGTGTGTGGTGCTTTTGCTAGCTTGTTAAAGTACCTGAGTTAGTTCACATGCAGCTAACTTCTCACTGCACTACCAACCATAGCTACACTGCACAGCTGCAGAATCAAATAAGGAGTATGATTTCCAGAAATACACAGTTAAACTTTGCATTTAGGACTGCACAACCTAAGTAATGTATGGGAAAATATATCTCAATTTCATGCTTATAAAAACAAAAGCCACAGAAAGAGCTGTTCTTCATCTTTCCTACAGATTTCAACCTTGTGCTACGTTCTGCATTACACCTAACATTGTACACTGACCTTCATATTTCCTAATCGTCTTGTCCTGTCAACCACAAGCAGCTTCTTAATAAGGTCTCTGCAGTAAAGAAAACATGTTCTCTGTTAAACAAAAGAAATTTATATTTGACTGTCATACAAATGTTACAGAATATGAGCATACTTCCCTTTGACGAGCTAATACTGTGTATAATTTACCTGTTCATTTCCTTCGTATTTTAGGACACTTAAGAGTGAATGATGAAAAAGAATAACCTGTTCTAAAAGGAACTTGCAGATTTCCTGCAAATTCCTTTTAGACTCTTTCAAGAAACAAAGGAGAAAAACTTTCTCTCTCTGTCCTCCCCTGCCCCACAAGTACTACCATATCTTTCTTTGTATTTTTGTATTTTGCTGGGCATTCCAAATCTCAAAATGGATCTCAAACCTATTTGGAAGAACACAACTCTAATATATATAAAAAATACAGATAAAGCTGCACCCTCAACTTTATACATTGACATTTAAATTCTGTGGCAGCTAAACATTCAGAGAAAACAAGAAAGAGCTAGTCATCTGCCTAAAACTAGTAGGATCTATAAGCTTTAATTTCATTGAAAATGAAAAGCCTCCCTTGAGATTCTAGTTCATTGAACAGTTCTACATAAAGCTAAATCAACATTTTAAAAGATGAATATAAGTTTAGAGACAAAGTACTTTAAATATTAAGCACCAAAAAACTCCAACATAAATCAAAGTGAGTGTCACAATTTATTGAGTTAGCTTGATTACTTATGAGTTGAGAGAAAAATCTGGCTTCACATTTCTATAAGCAGTTACTTTCAACCTCAAAGATTATTCTACTATTTATTTTTAGAATAATAGCATTCTGGTCTCATTGCATAAAGTACCAATGACAGGAAAGAACAAAAGCTTAGCCACCTTTCTTGTTTCTACAGCCTCAAATAGACCCGAGAGATGCAATGCTGCATGAAATGCTGGGTATCTACAGAGTGTGGCGAATTCCAATTTTTAACTTTGCAGAAGGTTTTAAAAAAAAACAAACAAACAACAACAACAAACAACAACTTTATTTAGAGAAAAGAATGCAAACGTATGACACACCTGCCCCTCTCCACCCCTAAAACTCTAACACCTACTACCGCAAAACAAAAAAAACAGTATTCTGTCACCTATCTTTGAAATCACAAAAGCATATGCACAAAGAATATATGAACAGAGAGTGAATGTGCTAGACTGTTTGAAAAGCTGTTGTATTTCGCAGGAATATAGTTCTAAAATTCAATTGGAAAAATATTCAATTGCCAGATAAAAGGAGAATAAAAAAGTCAAGGTAGAAAGCAATTTTAAATCTCTCATGATCATTCCAGCCAATCAATGTTTGTATTAAGACTAAATCATGTGACTGACTCCTTTTACAGTCACCTTCTGGTCTATAATTAGACTTTAAAACACAAGTGGGACTGAAAAGAAATCCGGAAACCCAGAACTAGATTCACAGGCTATATGGCCAAACCAGAAAACATTCAATGGATCATTCTTTGCTTTCTTCAAAAATTCATCTTAGAAAAGCACAGTTAAGGGATGAGCTTGCTCAGTGATACTGTGTTGTCACTAAAGATGAAGACATTTGCTGCATTCAATAGAACAAATATCCATTAAACTGAATCAAGTAACAGATTTTAGTGCTTCTTTACTACATAGTTTCTAAGGAATGATTTAGAAATAATCATGTTAAAGTCAATCCAATAGATACGTTGCTGCATTTGGGGAGTGAAATTCTAGACCAAAGTCTTCCAGACCAATAATCATTAAACTGCTGTAGCACTGATGTTTTGCTTGGTATTTTCCAAAACTGTCTTTGCAAAGGAAAGTTTACAAAAGCAAAAAAAAAAGAAAAATATAAAGAAATAACTTACAAACTCATTAGTGGCCAAAGAAATAGGTGGAGCATAATTAATACTTATGTTTTATCAGAAATGAAGTAACACAAAACTCTGCTGACAGTCTTATTTTGGAATTTCTAGTTGGTTAATTTATCACCATCATGGCAGAAGCTGCTCTTCAGAAGAGATCTGAACTAACGGTCAAATGCGTCAAGGACTTCATGTACACAGGACGAAGGACTTGGAGAAAACATCTGATCAAATTGCAAGGAGGCTAACAAAAGGGATACGGTAGAGAGCAATGTGAAGAGATGCTAGTTCAGGCCAGAAGGAACAGCACTTATACAAGACACACAGCAGTTATACAGCACAGTAAGAGACAGTGAACATCATGCAGCATGAGGAAAAGCAAAAGTGGTATAAATTCAAAAGGTAAAAAGTGCAGGAGAGTGATCGGGGGTAGGCAGGTAGAAAAATGTCAGCCAGTAAGGTTATGTAGTATATCTAGGTAGAAAAGTTTTCTCAGAGTTCAAAAAGGAAAATAGTTTTCTGCCTAAGAGCAGAGAGTTGAAGTTCAATTGTTATAAACACTGTACGCACTAATACTTCAGACATAACCTGGATGTGACAGGATCCAAGATAGCGTTCATGCTTGCTGAGATATCAACTGATAAGGAAGAAGAGAGAGAAAGCAAATGGGATACAAATAAGGTAAGAAGTAGACTGTATTCTTAGGACAAAACAATCTTGGCACTTGCTTTAAGCTAATGGTGCAGACATGTCAAAGACTATCCAGTTCTGCATATTGTGGTTTAAAAAAAGGAAGAGGGGTTGATGGAACAAGAGAGAGACATTATGCTAACAACTCACTGCAGAAAGCAGGTGAAGCCACGCAAATGAATGAGATCACCCAAAACCAAGGTGTGAAAGGAGGAAAGCCCAAGCTAGAACTCCATGAGACCCCTTAAAGGCAGGAGTGTAACGGTAATGAGCTGCCAAGCACACACTGAAAGAACATCTGGATAAGAAAAAGTGAGAAAGAGACATATCAACAACTATGTTGATTAATGTATCCTATAATTCATTGACAGTCACATCTAGACTGAAGAGCAAAACCTGCATATGCATGCTTACTACCATAACTTGGAAACTTCACAGCATCAGGTGTCTTCTGGATAGTAGAAATCAGTGTTGGTCTGTGAATGTCATGCACAAATAGAAGCTAACAGCATCTCTACTTTTAAATGCTTTCACCATGTTAAACAGGTTGCTAGTGATAATAACCTAATTTGAGCTGTTCATCTTCTGGTCACACTCTTATACTTTAGTGCACACAATATTATGTGAGAAACTAATTTTATCTATTTACCTAGCGGTGACAGTAAGCAAGTGCCATCTCTAAGGTGGCACCTTCAAAAGCACTTCTTCAAAACACCTTGAATGATTAACCTGGGCATGTAAGAACAGCTTCCTATCCTCACTCACTGATTCACTCATCTCTGCTTCTGAGGAGAAACTTCATGTTCAAAATTGCACTTCCTCTGTTCTAATATTTACCAACAATTATTTCAATTACAGAATTTCTAAATAGGGAGAAAAGCATTTCATCTGCAACATATCTGTAACAATATGAACTATGACTAAAACCCACACATGCATATATAAGACTGCATATTGAACTGGGGCCCTGCTATCAGGGAAGGCGATATTACACTGGAACTTATCAGAAAGTTCATTCAAGTAGTTATGCTGAGAGTGACTTAACTGGTACATATGCATACAAAGGAACAGTTCAGTGTTCACTTCCTGCTCTCCTAATTTTTATTCATCTTAAATTATCTCCTCATATTTCTCTTTTCTTTCTTCCACACACCAACCTGGTACTAATGAGCTTTGTGCAAGGTGGAAAAGCATTTAATATTCCAAAATATGCAGGAAAGTAAGAGAGGCAGATACTGTCTTACAACTGTATCTCCAGCTTGAAGTCTACCAAAACCATAATTTTACTTGGACTGCAAGAATAAACTTAATTTAAAATATTTTCCAACATAGTGTTTTAGAAAATCAGAAGCTGGTATCTGGTCTTCTGTGAAGATCCTTTAGAATCAGTGCTCAGGAGATGTTTAGTATATAAAAGACAATGTTTGGAGTCATGGACTTACTTTACGTATAAATCCAAATGCCTCGGGAAATCTATTTTGCCAGCAAGAATCTTCTGATATATACCAAATGGATTGTCATCAAAAAATGGAGGAAACCTATTTTAATACAGCAAATTTTTAGAGGTTAGAAAAAGGATTTCTAAAAATCTTATAAACAATACAATGCTATAGTAATTCCCCTAGAAATCATTGATTATATAGTTATTTTTGGTAGGGCATCATCAATCAAATACTAACTTAAGGCTGAAGTGTAACTTAAGGCTGCTATTGCAAAACAGAAAACATTTTTATACGCAACACACTGAACACAGAATTAAAACTGAAGTATCACAATAGAGATTTTTGTTACATTAATATAGTAAAAATATCAATTATGAGACAAATTTGCAGTGTTAAAGTAAAAAATGCTTTGCCTTTATCTATAAAACCCAAGGGTGTACTTTCCAAAACAGCATTACCATTTTTGATCTTGTCCTGTAACTGCAGGCATACCCTTATTCACGAGTTTCTATCTAAAGTGTCAAAGGACCCTCACATGAATAGATTGTCCAGTTCAGTTCTTGAATTCAAGTATATGTTTTGTTAGAGAAGGTTTGAAAGAGACAGACTGTTCAGAACCTGACATTCTCTCAAAGTGGAACTGTCTTTCTGTGTTGGACAGATAAAGTACTTATTTCATAATCTTCCCAAGATGATCAGTAAATCAAGATGCAATTAAAATTCTACATTTACTATTTTCTAAAAAATTTTTCATGTGAAGTTATGAGCTAACAAAGAGACTACTACTTGTTTTACAGCTACAGTAAGAACTGAGAGAGTTTTCTGTTGTGCTTCCTTTACTAGTATAATACATACCCTGATTACTGCAAGAAGCTCAGAGTATGGGTGCATCGGTACAGGTGATACAAGCAGCTTGGCCCAAGTGCCAACAGGTTTTCAGAGTGACAGTCACCTTTTTAGAAGTTACCACAGGAAACCTTTTAGGGGAATGGAATAACTACCTACTCATTCACTAATCTCAGTCCCACTTTGACTTCTGTAACATGACCAAAGCATCCCTCTTACTATGCTTCTGTCTCAAAACCCCTACAGAACAGAAAAAAGGGATTTTGAATATCAACCGTTATTAGTAACGTCCAACCACTATTACAGTTCAATGTTTAAAATATTTTCACATCTCCGTAACATTTTATAATTACTTTCTATGAGAATTTAACTGTGTACATACACACACAAATACAGTGCTGGTGGCTTTAGAAATCACTGGTAGCACAAACAAGTGTGAAAATAACGTTTCTTCATTTCACATTCTTTCCTTAATTTTACGTTACTCAAACTAGCTTATTCCTCAAAAAGTACTATACATTATTTCCATTATGTAGGAGCTTTCAGAAGTAGCAATTTCTTCATTATTCAGCTGATGGTCAAGTGGATTAGCATTTCCTTTGAAATATTCTAAATTTCAGCCACGGATAAAACCAAGTTCCATCAGAATAGTTAAATGAAGCTGTCTGTATGCATAAGGTAAAAAAAGTAATACTGCAAAGCACAGAAAAGCATGACAAAACTATCTGGTTAAGGAAAGACTGAAGAACATTTGTTGGTGTTCAGACAGCCAGAGTAGTTTCATTGTGAAAAACTGAATAGTCTCAGCTGTAAAGAAACTGAAAAATATAAGAATCTCAGGAAAAAAAAAATATTTGTATTTTTATAAATTCCTGCTTTGACACTAAAGAACAAGGAAAACATGATAGATACCTAATGTGCATAAAATTTTCCCACACCAGAGAGACGATCTTATAGTTTCTTTTTTAGTCAGGCCACATTATGTCCTTCACATTCTCCAAAGCAAATTGACAAACAGTACACTCAATTTCTAACTTTGTATTTGTTATTACATATTAGCATCTATAAATGCATAAAGCAATTAGAATCAGACTTTGCAACAATGTATTACAAAGGTACCAGCTGCAGTAAGCAGACTGATATGAAATGCAGGTTTTTTTCCTCTATCTCCAAACATTCTGTACACTACTGAGCTATGAAATCAAGGAGAAAAAGAAGTGTGTGTATGTTTTTACATAGTTACATATGTTTAAATTGCTCTTTGCTTTCCCACTTGGAAAATCCAAAATTACTATGTCTGGAATTCTTGAGAGAAATTTAAATCACTCTTGGCTATAGAATAATTTAATGGCAATACTGCTTAAATACTGCTTGAACTGTATGCAAAATGAGAATAGCTTTGAAAGATTACATAGTTTTCTTACAGACAAACCTAATAACTTGACTTTGATACTACTTGCAAATGTCAATCTGCAACACAGCACAGATTTTAGACCAAACAACGCAAGTATTGTGCTGGAAGCTACCTAATAAATCAACAAAAGCCCCCTTGAGTTTCAGACTGCCTTCACACCATAACCCAAATACAAACAGCTGCCTTTTTTCCACCGACTGAAAAGAGAAAGAAGCTAAAAAAGAAAAAATCTCTGTACGTGGGACAACAGCTGCAAACCATTCCTTTTGCTAACTGATGCATAACAATGGCACTGACATTGGTCTCAAAGATAACAGATAGTTTTAGCACTGAAGAAGAGAAGTTGTAAAACCTAAAGGGAAAACACACAGGTCTGGGAATATGAAACCACGGACAGGAACCATTAGCTACCTAAAACAATAGACCAGCACATCACATATGACCACCAAAGCAGAAACAGAAAACACGAAGCCCTCATTACATGAGAAAATTCAGTTAGCTATACATCTGATGACAGTACAATTATGACCTAACATATCTAACATTAAATAGCAAGTATGTTTTCCTCTGCGGTAGATTGTAACAGAAGACATGTAGGCAAAACAAATAGATCTTTGAACTGTTTCTAGTGACAGCTTGTTTAGCTTGTTTAGATTAACTCAATGAACTCCATATTATTAATCTGTTCTGTAAAGATTTCTTCTCATCCCTGGTTCTCCCTGTTCTTTCCCCTTCCTATGTTTTACTATCTTAAACCTAAATGGGACCTTGCCTTAAATCTATTATGTGCAGAACTAGAATTCCATGGGCCTCTAGAGACTAAGTTAGAGAAATAAGACACTGCAGAACAGGAAAGTGTGGTTTTGTTTGTTTGTTTTTAGAGAGACCATTTCCTTACACACATATCTACCAATTCTTTTCAATTGCTTTTGGGGTTCAGAGAGAGTAACTTCAGGAAATAACTACCAAATGTCTTAAGTAATTTACTTGCAGACAATAACTTAGTCTTGAAGTCAGGTTTTGTTCACCTTCAAATAATTTTCCTATTTCTTAAATCTTCTTTGAATTTCAAGGGATAAAGTTTTGTAGGACTGTTTTCGCATTTATAGCTTTGATAGTAAATATTGAGCCACATCTTGAGTTGGTGAGGAAAAGCGTTTTAAAACACTACGGCCATCAACAGCGAAAAGCTGATAAAATGCTAAAAGCACATGCCCTATGTGACAACCTGCCCTCTTAAGAGCACACAGAAGCCCCAAGCCCTGCCCCTCTCAACCCCTCAAATCCCAGAATCTTAAAAATCCTAATCACGTAGTATCAATCTATGCCCCCCCCCTGCCCCAACCAACCAACCAAACTTGGGTGAAGTCCCTATCCCAGCTTTAGATAGGGACTCCACCGAACACTAAAAAAAAATAAAAAGCAGCATCCAATCATTATGAAGAGCGTATCTACACAAATACTGTAGTAAAAACCATTTCAACATCACTTGCAGCAGACAGCTGGTCTGTCAAGCAGCCTATATAACATCTCAGTTGCCTTTTAGAAATGTGTAATTTATCTCTATTGGTTAAGAGTCTCTATAGCCAAAGTGTTTATATTGAGCTTGGGGAAATCCAGATCTCATCACTTGAGCCAGATAATTTCAGGACACAGATGATCCTGCATAGAAATGACTGCAGCTGCTCTCTTCTTTTATGAAGAATATATATCAGTCATAGTTCAGTGCCCTGCAGTCTTGAGGTCTCACTGACTCCAGAGATAAGATCTTGCTTGACTATCACCTGTAGTCAGTATGTTAACTTTGGAAACCATGTTTCTATTACTGCTCTAGTAGAGAGAATCCTGTCAACACCTCTGTAAGGCACAGAAAGGAAAAACGCCCAATATCCACTTACACTGAGACCACACAGACCAAACAGAGAGTGGTCCCACCGAAACTCACGGCAGGAAGGTAAATCACTCAGACTACAGCTGGGAGATGGCAGCACCTGCGCTAATGTTGCAGCACCAGACACATTTATCTACGCTCTTCGTGCTGTCTAGGACTACGATTAGTGGCAACAAGGCTGCTGGGAATCTCTTGCTCCTTTCACCCCTCCGAGAAGGATTCCCTTTACCAACTTGGGCCGCTCACCCTTACAGCGAGGGGTGGAAGAAAGATGAAGCCTGCCCTCTGCACAGATCAGCCTAAATAACAACTTTTTATTAAACCAGTCAGCCAAGCCTACCTGGGTCAGAAGGGAACTATTAGTACATTTTTATGCTTTTTCTGTCCAGAAATTGCCTTGAGATTCAAAGTAAATGCATATGCAAGCCTTCAGGACACTAAGAAAGCAAGCAGTGGGCAGCAATGCTGTCCTGGGATAAAGTTTTGATGCTATTAGGTAGACTTCTTCACAGCAAACACATGTGATGGATTGGAGCTCTGAAGTGATCATCCATCAGAGGAACTGTCTGCTCAGGCAACCTGACGAGCTTGTCGAAACACCAGAAGAATCACCAAAGTTACCCTGAGCTGACAATACTGTACAGAGAAAAGGAAGAATAAATCCATGCAAGGATATTTTTGTTCTGACTTCACTCTATGAGGCTGCAGATCCAGAATGAAAGGCCATAGAGGCAACCTGACGCACACTCAAGGAGCGAGAAGGCACAGAGCACACTGGGCCTGGTACCGAAAAGAAGTTCTAATGACTATGAACCCAAAACAGATGAAATATACCTTGTTTCTTCTGAAACTATGAAAGCCTTGCTTTCACCTGCATTTGTTCTACTGCACCAACCATGGCAAAATGAGTTTCTTTCAAAATTCCCTTTTTTTTTTTTTTTTTTTGTTTTTTGCAAGTATCCTCAAAAGATATAGCCAAAACAAAAAAACCAAGGAAAAACATACGGAAGCCTTGTTCAGTACACAAGCAGATTTTCACATTGTCCCTAAATCAGTTATTTATTTTACTGAAAACAGTATTTTTTTTTTTTTTAAATCAGAGCAAATTAAGACAGTTGTATTAATGGCAGAAAGTCTCTCTCCAGTTTTCATTTGTATCTTTTGGAAACACTGCTTATCAAGCAAATGCTAAAACATCAGAAGTAGTGTTTGAGCAAACTGATTTCCAAATAGACCTTTTAAGCTTTTCCCTGTTCTTTTTTCTTTCGTTTAAAGAAAATCAGTGCTCAGTAGTAATACAAGCTGTACTAATAAAAGTCTTCCTACTTGACACTATGCATTTTTACAGACTATAGCTCCCACTGCAAATATTATTTCACTGTGCTAAAAATTACAGAAGTTTCAAAGAAAACTGGTACTCCTCTTCTTCACTCTTTAAATATAAACAATTTTATGTATAAAAAATCTAAACGTCAACAAAATCTGAATTTCCAAAATGGAGAAGGAAAAGAGCAACTGTTAAAAAAGCCTTAAATGAAAAAAAACCAAACCACCAAACAAACAAAAACACAACAACAAAACCCCAAACAAAACCAACAAACTCAAAAACCAAAAAAAATTCCAGTAACAACAGTGAAGTATCTTCTTTTGTACAGCTTCCCAATTCCTTTCTTCAGAGGCAGAAATGAAACTGGTATATCAATAATAAATTTAGCCCAAATTTGCTCTTCCAAATATTGTAAACAGAACTATTAAAGAATCCTGTATATATATATATATATATATAATATTGCTGTGATATAGTAATCATTATCACTTACCCTGACAACATCTCAAATATAAGAATTCCCAGGGCCCACCAATCCACAGCTCTTCCATGGCCTTTGCTTTGTATAACTTCTGGTGCAAGGTACTCCGGGGTGCCACAGAGCGTCCATGTCCTGGGAGGAAAAGAAGGTGTGGGGGGGAACAAAAACACACAAACAACAAAACTAGACTGAAGTGAAACTGAAATAACTGTAACAGAAAAAACATACAGATAGGAAGTACCCAATATATGCCTATGTATTTATTGTACATAGGAACAAGAGAAAAAAGAAAGTCCTCTACAAGATCTAAAAAGACGCTTTGATGATGCTCTCCAATCCTCCCATAACAGAGATACATGGAAGTTAAGAAACTTCTTGGCTGCCGGAAACACCTGTGCCCTGAGTTTCCCGACTGCTGGTGTGGTACCCTATCCATTAGGTTATACATTGCTTTGAAATTAACAGTGGTTTTCATCCTGTAAGCTGCAGACCCTGGGAGTTCATGGACTACTGACGGGCCCAGCAAAAGGCACGCTTACTGCCACTTTCCAGCAAAAGTAAAAATTTTTTTTTTTTTTTAGAAAAAACAAAGGGAAGAGGGGGAGATAAAAAAATAGTAGTTTAAATTAGTAAATAGCTGCAGATATAAGTAACATTCCTTTTACAATCTAAGTAATGTTTTTCAAATAGTATTGAAATGTAATCGGTCATCACTCCCACAATACCCATTAAAAGGAAAATTTTTTGTGGTTTTTATTATTTAAAATATTTACAAGGTGTAGTTAAGCAAGTGTGAGATATGTAAGTAATACTGGTTTTGATATATTTTAATGTCATTTTAGTCACATCTTTCTTAATATAAGTTCAGGATATAAAAGTGTTATATTGCTACCTAATTGAAATGTCTATTTCAAGTTCTATAAATTCATGAAATGAATTGAAGCTAAGCAGTTAATGTTTACAAAGACCAAATTACAATTTGAAACACAGAATATTCTGAAATGATTTCTTTCAGAAATGTGAGATCTGCTTTGTAAAAATACTCATGCAGAATTTGCTTAGTTTCACTACCTTGACTTATGTTTTAAATACATGCTAGAGAAAAAAAGCGTGCTTTCATTCTGAAGAAATTACACTGCCCTGATAGCAAGTCAGCAGAGGAAACTCTGAAAAATTGCTCATCAATTTAAGAGATGATGAAACTACAGCAGACAATAAGGGAAAAAAAAAAAAAAAGCATATTGCATTTTAAGAAGAGTTCTAGTAAGAAATGACACAGAAAATAGTCACTGCACACAATTTCTAACTTGCAGCAGAAGAAACTCTAATTGTTTTATTTGTGAGTGCAGGAAGAATCTTCTCCAAGGCGTGAATCAAACTGGTTCATCATTAAGATGAACAGCAATCACTTTTAGAAGTAATACATACCTCTTTCAACTTCTACAGTTTGTCCTACCACTGTTCTGCTAAACTTAACAAAGCTTCTTTTTCCAAACCATAAATGGATATTCAAGATGCATGTATGATACGTAAAATTTACTTTTTTTTAAAGATTTAATAATACAATCTTCTGAGATTGCAGAATTATTTTAAACAGAGCTTGTAGGTGTTTTCCTCCCCTTTGTTTTGTGTTTTTTTTTGTTTTGGTTTGGTTTTGGTTTTTTGGGGGTTTTTTTTAGGCCTTAGCCTTGATTCATGAAAATACTTAAGATCAAGGAAGAGGAGCTGTACAGTCAGTCAAGACTTTAAATGAAGATTTATGATACCCAGAAGTGAATTTCTTTAGGCCTGATTTTAATATGGCAAAAGCTAATTTACCCCAGCTAAACTGTCAGATTGTTAGACACACTATGCACCCAAGTGCTCTACAGTTCTTGAAACTACGTTCATTAGTGTAAAGAATACATCTTCAATTTTTATCATAAAAGGATGGCATAATTTTTATTGCTAGAAAATAGAAACTCTCATTTTTCAAATCAAGCACACACAAGAAAATTCTTACATACACCACTGCTTTACACACTACTGCCATCTAGCAGTTGCCTAGATCAGGACTAGGTAATTAAAAAAAAAAAAAAAAAAAACACCACAACAAAGCTTTGTCGTCTTTTAAAACAAAATAATCCCCCCTCCCCCAAATTTAAAAAGCCATATTACAATCCACAGTATGAATTTTTACTCATACTGATTTAATCAGCTCTGCAAATGAAGCAGCTACCAGTTTTACTGTATTTGGGAAGAAAGGCTGTACAAATAAAGCAGACATGGCAAGCGCATTCTTTTTAATAGACAAGCCAGGACACTGCAGAACAATGTCCCACAGTGGTCATCCTTTCCTCCCCCAAAATTGCCAACACCAGAAATGCAGAAATTCAGCAAAGATGCAGATTTTGGTGGTTTTCATCCCTTATCAAGGTCATTTAGGATACAAAAAAATCAGCTTAACACTTGACCATGACTTCCAGGACCCACATAATTTGCTGTTGACAATGTAATGAAAATGACCCTTGATTACCTTTGAGGTTAGTAACAAGATCTTTTTTATTCAAGTAAAAGGAAAACTACAAATTAAGGAGAGGCCAACATAACTTGAAGTCCCCTAGTTGCACTAGGAAATAAAATTTGTTACCACCAGCAGGTCATCTACTTCTCTTAATTTCAATCAAGAAATTTATGTTTACTAACTACACAAAAACTTGGAGGAAGCTCAAATTCTTTGTCAAGCTGTATATTTGTGCCATACGATCATGCCTTGTATTTCCTCTTTTATTGGCCATGAAACTATTTCATATTTGGAAAACACATCAAGTAAATTCTATAAAATGATCAAATGGTCTTAAGTATTTTTCTTTTCATCACTATTTCATGACTGTTGCATATTCATCTGAAACTCCAGATTATCCTTTTGAAGATAAATTATAAAGCAGAAAAACAAGAATAGACTGTTTCCTTCAAACTGCTACAAAAATTCCACTGCTCTGGGTTTTCAAGGTGAATGCTGAAATACAGGTAAGCAACAGGCGGTAAGGTTGAACATGTAATTTTAAAACGTAAAAATGAAACAAAGAATCTGCTCTGGTCACAGAGATAAGCTATAAAATAATATCTACAGGACTTGTTAATAGTATTATTTGAAGAAGTTAAGTCTCGATGGTTAACATATTTTAGCATTCTACGCTATTCAGCATCCACCTCTGTAGTCCCTCACAAGCTTCTAGCATACGAGCCACAGATTAACAACAATGCCCTTTTTGGTGTTCTCTTCTGGAAGTTTCTCCATAATTATACTCAATGGAGACTGCTTTGTTTACAGCCCACAGAAGTTTGTTCTGCAAGACATTCTTGCTTCTACAGTGACACACAATACACTTTACAAACAAGATTTGCTACATCTTGTTTTGTTTTGTTTTCTTCCTTCTCTTCAAGTCTACTCTGCAGAATAGTCATGAGGTACATCCAGTTTAAGCAACAGTGCAGAAGTATCCCCAAAATCTTTAAGATTATTTTTTTTTTTAATAAGGAATTTAAACTGAGCAAACTAAAATTAACAGTGAATAACATTCCTCAAAAAAGTTTACTTAAAACTGTCATAAAACTGAGTGAAATCTGTGCATAAAAAATATAAAATTCTCATGAACTTTTGTTTTCAGTTTCTCTGAAAGAACACAAGAGGGGAAAAAAAACCCAAAACAAAAAACAACAACAAAAACCCAGTAGGAAAGATCAGAAACATGTTTAATGGATATATTATACCTGAAAAGTGGTGTATGCTTTCTAGAAAAAGAAGGGTCTAAAAATGTAATGGCTATAAAGTTCAAAGCAAATCTTTTCTACATCCTTCAGTTAACAATAATTTATTCCAGTCCCCCTGCCCCTCCTATTTTCTTGACACTGCCCCTTTTTTAAAGTAGTGGCACATCTATTTTATGTGAATGTACTTACAAGAAACTGAAAACGTTATTAAGTCTTCAGTTAAGGAACACCAAGGTGGAAAAGAGAAGAAATAAACAGCAGCTGAGGCAAAGACACACTGTTTTGGAGGAAAATTTACAATTTTTAAAAGTACACTACAACCAAAAAGGGAAGAACAAGGATAAACAGAAGGACATATCAATAAGGAACAGAAGGAGACAAGAAAACCTCCTCCTTTTCCTTTTTCTCTACAAAAAATATTAGGAGTCTAGCCCTTCAGAAAATTTACTAATAAGAAGGTAAATGTGCAGGCTGCTTCCCACAGTGGGAACACGAGCTACGAGCCAGCCACTCTCTCTAAAGAGCAGCTTAATTGTAGACAGACATGGTGAACACTTCACCCTTTCACACACGATAGTGGGAAGAAAGGAAAATGCTTACAGAAAAATCTCAGTTAAGCAACTACAGAATCATTCATAGGAAATAATATGTATCAAGAAATGTGTACTCGTATTGAAGGTCTTCTGCAGACCATGTTTTATTTTACGTCATGTTTCTCTAGTCAAACGTTTGTTGGTCCTAAGAGGCACGCTTCCTCACAGCTGTTTGAAAAACATATATACTTGGTATTTTATTTTCACAATTCATATGCACTGTATATATGTATACATATATACACATACGTACATGTAAGGTTCACATGTATAGATGTTTGCCGTGCATAAAAATGACAACACATCTCCTATGCTATGCTATACTTTAGGTCAAATAGTCTATGAAACAAAATAACCTACTGGAGTGCTTTAGTGGATAAATTGCTGGCAACTGTGTATTTTTAGTGACAAAAGAGCATTGTGGAAATAGTAGGGTGAACACTATATAGTGGGGTGGGGGCAGAGGGAATCAGACATGCATAGCTAACTACCATGCTCTAACTGATAAAGTCCTCGCTCCTTCCAACTTTGTGTTCTGCATTTTATATTACCTGTTGTACATTTATAGGTAAGGCAGGTACTAATATCAAACTACTATAGTGTTCTACGGTTCAGTTCAACACAAACTGATCAACTTCA